TGCGACAATTCCTTTGGTTGTTTGTTTTATTGTTTTTTGAAAATGTTTGAAATTGTATGTATATATATGTGTATATTTTATCTCACATCTGGTGACTTGGGACGCGGCGTAATTAGGGTAGAGCTAACATTTAATATTAACAAGCGCAGCATGTATGGAATGGGAATGTTAAGAACCAGATGCTTCAATTGATGTATATGAAAATGTTCTGTAGAAAAAGAAGGAATCTGTATATACTATACAGATGTTTGTTTTTCACACAAAGAATTCTCATTTCAGGGTAACTGACCCTGAGCATTGTATAGTGAACAAAGAATCAAGATGCAAGTCCGAATATGTTTGTATAATATTTGGTAGATTTATAAGTAGTTAAAGTAACCACGCAGGCGGGTTTTTTACCATTTCGGTGGTTTTCCCTCGCCTCATAGCCAAATGGGCGTGGTGTAGGGAAATTTAATTCTGTAAATGTTACGTCCTAAATGTAGTTTTAGGTCGTACATTTTTTTTCCCCTTCCTTAAGGAAGAAGAATTTTTATAGTATCGATTGAAAGATATATATTAAAGTCATCGGGACTATAAATCAAATCTAGGAAATTGGTTACGTAATTTATTTCCAGGCCATTTGTGACCTTCAAATAAATCCCGTTTTCTTTTTGGAGTGGATTGTGACGAATCTGTTTGGAACTTTTCCACTAATCTTCTTAGGCGTCTTTTTGGGAATATAAATTTAGCGTTTATTTCCAATCAACTCCAAAAGAAGTATGAGATATTTAAATTAGATAAGGTATTTAAGTCGAGCGTTCCGAGATAGCAAGTGAGATGATGGAAGGCTATTGAGCCAGCAACTTTAAACGCATTTTTAGAAGATTCAAGGAGATTAGATTCGTGAAGACGTCGTGCTGCTAGACGTACCAGAAAGCTGATATAAATGACGGTAAATATAATTTACGTACGCTTAAAATAAGCGTCAGTTTAAAGTATTGACTTAGTTAAAGTTAATGAAGTTAAGAATTCGAGTAAGTGTATTTCTCGGATCTCCTATTTCGTAGACTTTACTTGATATTGAGCTTAATTATTAATTAATTTGCATTCTTAGTAATTTAATTTAATATATAAGGCAAATCCCTTTAAGTGAAATAACATAATATTGTTATGTGTTATCAGAGATTTTTGAGAAAATTGTAATAATAAATAAATATTATAACTATTCAAATGGCTCTTAGTGATTCTTTGCCTCAAATTAATCTTGGTGTTCAAGTGAGACCCAGGAGGGTCTCCACAAGATCAAAGATATTTTTATTTTTAGTTACTTTTTATTAAATAGTTACAATTAATATAAATATGTATATACATGTAACAGAATCACAATATTAAAAAGTGACAAAATAGAAAACGATTTTCCCTGAAATTTTTCATTTTCACTCTCTCTGCTGTATGGTGTTGGACTATTTTTGTGTTTGTTTTGTTACTATTTATTCATTTAATTAAATTAAATTGTTCCAATAAATAGTGTAGTAAAAAAGAAAGCACATTCTCCAGAAATTAGGCCATCCCAGGTGGGATTGAACCCGACATTTGCATTAGAAGTCCATGGCGTTACAGAAACGTAACGAATGAAGTTTCCCTTTCTATATATCGTTTTAGACTATTATTTTTGTTTGTAACTATTTAGTCATTTTTAATTTAATTTATTTAATTAATATTTGAAAAAAACTGTAATTAACATCAAAATGCCATCCACTACAAGTTTAAAAAATGTACTTGAACTTGAATGGATGAATATGTATTTATTAAAACATATGTGGTACAGGAATAACATTTCGGGATAACTATAATACTAAAGTGAGAAGATTATCATCACAAAAACAATTAAATGTTCGTTGCATAAATATCTGGAAAATTTAATACATTTTAATAAAGACAGGTTAAAATGGTAGTAAGATAGTCTCTTCATAATCTATTATTCTTTAGCCTTATGCTTAAACATCATTCGTTTAATTGCTCATAAAACAGCCATTTTTTTCTTTTAAGGCTGTCAATACATGTGTTGATCAATTGTTAATATTCTTGGTAAATTGCACCAAAGATTAAAAGTAGCTAAATTATTTTTAAGCAATTATTTTAAAAGTTACTTGAATTTTTAAAATTAAAATAAGCAGTGTTCTCTCTCGGTAAGGAATGTGATTTGTTGAAACATTTTATCGCTTCATATTCTTATTTCTTGAATTATATTATATATTTTTTTCTATCTCGAAACCTCCTTTCTCCCCACCCAAACAATTCTTCCCATTGGTATCAAATCTGTCTTGATGAAGGTTAGTTCGAATGTTAACACTAAACCTGTTTAAAATTGCAAAGTGCGTTTCGAAAATTGCTTCTCCTTCAATGGCTCGACCATTCTGGGTAGGCCCTGGCTTTCTCCATAAGTTTTCTCCAGGCATATCTACTTTTTGGCAACGGTTTTCCAGTTTTTGACCTTTAAAATACTTAGATCTTTTTCGACACAGTCAATCTATCTTAACGGGTCTGCCCCTAGGTCTATTTCCCATGGACTTTGCCAGTAAGATTTTCTTGCAGCAACGATCATTCATTCTAGCCAGATGACCAGTCCATTTAAGTCTCTGTAATTTGACAATTTTTACAATATCAGGTTGTAAATTTTGTCGAGTTCTAGGTTAGATATTCTCCTTCACATGATCCATTCATTTCGATCCCACTAAGAAGGCAGCGTAAGATCTTTCTTTCAAAAATTCCCCCAAGCTTCATCATCACGTATAGTCAATGGCCAAGTCTCGATGCTTAAATCAAGACAGATCTTATAAAACTTTGTAAAGAAGCAATTTAGTTCTTAATTTGAGATAGTGAGTGAGAATGGCAAATTTCGGTGAAAGAAAAGTTGCAAAGAAATGGCAAAGTGCACTTTAAAAATTGCTTCTATATCATCTCATTGAATGCATTAATCCTTTTTTTCTTTCTCTTTTGCATCAGGTTTGCAAGACAGTTATTTCAGTTTACACAAATAAATTTAGTGTGGTTTGTTTTGTTATTTTTATTTCACGATCTGTATATTTTTTCTTTTGAGTTTAGTAGCTGACAATTTTAGTTCATTGTAATATAATGAGTATAATTAAAAGAAAATGTTTACTATAAAAACTAATTCCGAGTAATTTAGTTTTAATTTACTGTTAATTTTAACATGAAGTACAAAAATATTTATGACTTTTTTTTTTTCCTTTTTTTTATTTTCAGAAAAAGGCAAGATAGAGGCTGAGGTTCAAAAAGAGATATGCTAAGTTCTAGGTGCTGATTGCTTAACAGAACGCAAGTGTCAGAATTGATTCACAGAACTTCGTTCAAGGGTTTTTACGCTGAAAGATGACCAATGTTGTGGTCGACCTTTTTGAAGTTACTGATGACGAAATGAAAGCCCTAGTTGAATCGATTTGTGCTATAAGTGTGCGAGAGATTGCAGAAAAGATAAATGACAACACTGATAAAGACACACAACAACTGAAAATTACATAAGATGCTTGATATTTTGGTTCCATGCATTAATTGAAAAAAATTCACTCAATACCGTTGATGAAAAATGAATTTTGTCTACTGTAATGTTAATAAAATAAATCACGGTCCAAGCATGATGCATTTTTACCATTCATCTTTTTAGCAACATGAACGAAATTATTAGTGATTTCTGGGGAAGCGATGAGGCATTCCCCATATGAGCCCCAACCACACCCTCGGATTATCTCATTTATTTCGAAGTCTACAAAACTTTTAAATGGTAAACATTTCAGAAGTAATGATAACCTCAAATCCCCCTTGGTTGAGTTTCTGTGCGGATAAGGACTAAAAGTTCTACGAATGCGGAAATCAAGAAATTGTCAAAGATGGACAAAAGTAAGTAATTCAGTGAATATTACTGTGGAACTATTCAGCAACTCGAGGGCTTTTGGCGACGGTCCTCGTAATTTTGAGCCATGATCAAGTGACGAGGACGACACTTGAGCTGGCACCACCCCTCTCTAACTTCCTCACTAACGGGAGGACGTTTGGGCTCTCGACAGATTAAACATGCATCGCCCCCTGCGCCGGGTCTCCAGTGGTACTAGGCTCGAACTCATGACTCGCCAGCCAAGAGCCCGTTATCTTGACCACTAGGTTGCCGTGTGGCAAACTGCGGCTTTATACATACCTGATTGTGAAGTAACATTGTTATCTCTCTGCATTGATTCATCGGGATTTAAATCGACACTCAATTGATACAAGATAAAAAAAATGATAGTAAAGGTAAAAGTTGCCTTTTCATACTTGGTATGATTATTGAAATATATATGACACAGCAATATTTCAACGAAATAATTTTTTTTCAAACTTTATTTTATCAATTGCAAGTATAATATCAGATTATTAAATGTAATAGGCTTGGGAATGGGAAAGTAAGCATCTTTTTCGGCGTTTAAACTTTGAAGAGCAGAGTGAATTTAAATTAAAATTATTTTCGTTATATAAACATAATTTTTATATTTATACTGTCATGTTCTGTGTTTGCACAGTTACCACATTCTTTATGGAGGAAAAATATCGCTAAGTATTTATGCGGGACAACGTTTTAAGAAATTATTCTATCTTATTGTTGAAGAGACACAACGAAATGTTTTGAAATCATTGGACTGCAGGATCAAGAATACATGTTCAATAAAATTAACAAGTAATATAAAAGTTTTTTTCAGTCAATTCCTTCTTAGATCAACAAAGAAAATTTATTTCAGTTACTTTTTATTAAATAGTTACAATTATTAAAAATATGTATATTCATGGCATAATCACATTATTAAGTGACAAAATAGAAAGCGATTTTCCTTGTAATTTTCCATTTTTTCTTTCTATATAGGGTATTGGACTATTTTTTTTTTGTTTGTTACTATTTATTCATTAATTAAATTGAATTATTCTTATAAAATAGTATGGTAAGTGAAACACATTCTCAGAAATTTGGCCACGCCAGATGGGATTCGAACCCATGACCTTCGGATTGAAAGTCCAACGTGCTATCAATTGCACTACAGAGACACAACGAAGGATTTTCCTTTCTATACATGATATTGGACTATTATTCGTTTGTTACTATTCATTTTTTAATTTAACTAATGAATTAATATTAAAAAAAAACAAGTATTAACATCAAGTGTCATCCACTACAAGTTTAAAAAAATGTATTTAGACTAGAATGGATGAATAGAAAGTACTTTTTCAACGATTAAAAATTTTCAAAAGAATGTGACACATTTCGCTGTTAAAGTACAATTTTAGATCAAATATTTTTAGTACACAAATTAGGAAATTAAGCATTTGTCTCCTACTTGAACTAAAGCTAGAACTGTTGTTCCTTTATCGTTTAAGAATAGTAAAATTGCATAGTAATTAATAAATCACTTTTATTTGTTAGGCAATTACCGCTTCAGTAAGAACGTTGCAAATTAGCATATGTCAATATTAGGATTGTTCCAATCAGGCAAAGCAAAAAAAAGTTATTAAAAAATTTGTTCCTACATTTACAAGTATAGTTCTAAATGTTATCTAATATAATTTTAAAAGTTAGCATCAAAATAATATTTACAGTTATAAAAATTATTTAAAAAATACAGTTATTATTTACATTTTTAACAGGGGTATGTATAGCTACCGCCGTATCAATGATAGGGGCCTCAAGCGACACGGGTCGCTGTATGTGGGCAAAAATCGTAAAAATCTTATCAATGGTGTCATTTGAACAGAGCCCCCATTTCTGAAAAGGACCTCCAAAAATTTTTGATGCTGAGCGTACCAAGACTTGCTACTCCAGTAAATTTAAACCGTTACAGAACTTAAATACCAATTGTTTACCTAATTTTTTATTACTACTATTTCTTTTTGTTATCGTGTAGCTATTGTACCTTTACATTACTCAAAGCAAAGTACTTTCCACCTCTGTTGGTAAACATTAAGAGGACTTGGTACCCTAAAAATCACAAAACTATCGTTTTTTTATTTTCATTCAATCTTATTCTTTGCATTATTATCTTTCGATTGATATATCATTTGTGCATGTCGGAAAGTTAGAAGTTGAATAAAACTTCATTTGAAAACAAATTAGGCAATTCAGCCACACCCCTTTTTTAGAAAAAAGCTAAAAAATGCGTTATGATAAAAAAAAATCTATTTTATAAATAGAAATAATAACTATAAAAAGAATGTGTAGTATTAAAAGCAGAATATTTCCGAGGCAATACAATAATGTAATTTTTCTTCCTTGTGAAATGTGTGCATGTAAAATTTTAAATTAAGGCATTTTATATTAATAATTTTATATATATAATTTCAGTTCTTATTCCTGATATATTTTCATACAAATGTAATACTTTAATATTATAAGAAGAAAAACAGCCAAAATTTCTGTCGTGACAGAAAAAATATTTTTAAAGTTTTTCTTCAGTTTTCTTGTGCAATTAGTACTCTCTCTAAAAGTTGATCATTTATAAAAATGTGTGGGTTGAAAACATATGAAAATGCAATTATTTTAAAGAAAAATCGTATAAGTAATATCTTAAAGTGGTATTTTAAGTTTAATTAAGCTTATAATGATTATTTTTCAGAATTATAAACTTTAAAGTGGTTTTCTCAGTTTGTGTTTTTCGAAACCTTAGTGCATTCAAAATGCTACTCCTTCGACAATTATTTACCAATCACTTCAATTTTTTTTTTTCCTGCGTGTTAAAAAATAAAAGCATGTAATAAAAATTAGGGATCCGTTTTGCTATAAACTGAATACTTTTTTAAAAAAAAAATAAAATGTAAGACATGTTGGCTTTTTCGTTGATTTTTAGCCTGTATATCAACATTTTATTTTTTTCTCGAAAACGAATGAAGTTATTCTAAAATCGATCCTTAAAGTTGTTAAGAACATCCATAAGAATATTATAAAAAAAAAAATTCAGGTCTAAAAAAATTCAGGGAAAATTCATTTCCCAATTTTCTTCAAAAATTAAATTTTAAAATTGTGTGAATAATATATGAAAATTTTCATCTGGTAACATTTTCTTGAATAGAAACATTGTATAAAATGTTAAAATATAATTTTTAAATACGTAAATAAAGAAGTTTGCTCAAAGGGTGCCAAGTCCCCTTAAAGAAATTATTATATATTGTATTTGAAGTCAAAACGCAAGGCTTTGAAATAATTTAATTGCAGGAATTTTACTCACGGAATACGTGAGAAAATGTGTGAAATACGCAGCTTAGCCATCATAAAAACGTCCAAGAATAATTTAATATCGTAGCTTTTTTTTTTTAAAAAGAAAGTGTTACGCACATTTGTTAATGAGAACGACAATACATTCACCACACACAATAAACTTTCACTATTTCCCCATCAATGGAAGAGAGAATATTTCGAACTCGCGCGCGATTGTAAAATAATTACTGCACCCTGGGAAACAACCAACTCTGCACTAGCCTTTATTGAGAAAAAATATCGATATATATATATATATATATTTCTATATGTATATATATTTTCTGTATGTATATATATATATTTTATGTATATATATATTTTCTGTATATATATATATATATATATATATTCTATATGTATATATATATATATATATATATATATATATATATATATATATATATATATATATTTTTTACAAGTTTCAAGAGTTCTTAAGAACAGAGCCACTTTTCCGCTCAGGGATATTAGGCACATCCCTAAAGCGCAAAAGATTTACGGACGCAAAAAAAAAAAAAAAAAAAAAAAAAATATGAAGGCGAAAAAAGAGAAAAAATTAAAATTACAGCGAACCAACCACCGCCGAGTGAATCATGTATCCGCTGTGTTTGTGTGTGTATGTGCGCGGAACTATGGAAAACATCTACTATGGAAAATGAAAAGCTTAACAGTTTGATGTTGCTGTGCACTCAAAATAATATTACATCGTAAATTAATTACAGTGATGTCATTAACGATTTTGCTGTGAACAGAGCTCAAAAAGAAAACTTTTAATGTACAAGTACAATGACAGTGATTCAACAAATAATAAGGACGTCTAAAAGTAATAGATAGTAAAGCAATAAATGATGATAATTAACAGGTTGATTGCAGTCCATCCAATTACGTATACTGTATACTGTAATTTTGTAAACGATTTCATAAATTTACTGTACTGATTCACAAAAGGGTGGGTGGTCTGTGATGCCCAAGGCCGGATCTACGCATGGGCTTAATGGGCTGCAGCCCAGGACCCTCGTTGAAGATAAGAACAGAAAGAGATGCTTTTTACAATCAAAATAGTAATAAAATAATAAACCAATAAAAAATACAAATCAAAAATAAAATATTCGAAATACCACAGCAAATTTATTTTTATTTTCGAGAGCAAGAGCAATTTACTTTTGTTCTTCCCCCTACCACCGAATACGGGGAAATTAATAATTAATAGACGGAGGCTCTATCAGACAGCGGCGCCGAAGAGCATCGAGCATTTATGCAAATACAGTTGCATTATTTCTGTAGCCATTTTGTTTCGTAGAATAATAATTCTAAGTTACAATATTATACTGATTTGGTGCTGTGTCCTGTGCATAATACCTGAAATTAAAAGATACTTAGGTACCTGTTTATTCAGGTTTCAAGTAAAAAGTAAGTACCAATACACGTTTCTAAATTATTTAGGTAGGAAGGTATTGAAGTTATTATTAAGTATTTTCTGGATTTTTTCAATTTTTCAAGGATTGAAAACATCAGGATTTCCTATAAAGATGTATGTTGTCTTAAAATTTGTGATGAGTAACTTAATTACTTCTATAGGATTGAAAAAAAATAACAATCATTTCATGTGGACCACCATCATTTACATTTCGCAATGTTTCCATTGAATCACCCTTTTATGTAAGGAACGGTGTTGCTTGCGAATCTTACAATTTTAAAAAATACAACAGAAAGTAATATTAACATATTACACATCCAGATATAAATTATTTACACTATTTTAAGCGTTCATTACACAAAATTTGTAACAATGTGTAGCTTTTGCTGAGCGGAGATCAGCTTGGGAGGTGTTTTCAAGAATTGACCCACAAGTGAATTACGGACGTTATAAGTAAAAAAAAATCCTTTTTATCAGCTTTTAGATCTTAACTCAGTGGCGCAACAGCCCATGAAGGGCAAGGCCTACTGTGCCCAACTCAGTATACGTGACCTTGGGTCCTGAGGTGCATTAGCAGATGTTCCCTCCCTCAGGTGGTCAGTCTGACGCGAAACCCCAGTGTTAAGCTCCCAAGCAAGCTTGGTACTCCTTTATGGACCCACTGAAGGGTGGAAGGCTAAGTCAACCTTGCCCAGCCCAGGGTTTGAATCTTGGACCTGTGGGTTGGAAGCGCGATGTACTGACCACTCAACCACTGGGCTTCCTGCTATTAGACTTACAGACTTAAAATCTAAGAAATGTGATTTTTTGCTCAGCTGAGATATGCAAAAGCCTTTTTTTAATTTGCAATTCCCGTCACGTAAAATTAACTCATTAAAAACTTCATCCTTCAATCTGTATAGTTTAATTTTTCAATTCACCCACGCGAAGAACGGGTATAGCAGCTAGTTACAAATATATGTATAAATTAAGAACGCCTGAAACCCCCAGGCGCTACGCAAGGGGATCAAATGCCCGTTCTCATAGCAACAGTTTCTCGAATTTCCCTCGTCCACTCTTTCAATCGATCTGTTGATTCACTGAGCGGCTTTTTTTTGCTTTGATGTTCGTTGGTTTTAAAATCGGAGCGTACCTAGAAAATAATTTTGCAATCCCTTTTAATTTTATAGAATATCGATTATAGCAGAAAAGATTTAATTACGTTTTGATTATTTGATCATATTTAACTAGTATTTAATTAAATTTGAAATAGAGTTAACGTCATGTTTCCTCAACAAGTGTCACACACAGGTTCCGGTTAGATTAATATAACTCCTTGAAGAAAATCTTTCGTATCTGATTTTTACTGAAAATAAACTATAATAGTAATATAATTTGTTT